AAACAATGAAACAAAGATTAAAGAAAATAATAGAATTAAAAAAACTCTTATAAGTAACACTAAATGCGATAAAAAAAAATTGAGGTTTATAAATTTGAAGACAATTTTAAGTATCACTAAGAAAAGTCATATAAAAACTAAACGTCTTTCAAGGATGTGATGAAGAGATCTTTTTCTAAAAATTTGAGGCTCAAAAAATTATTTTTTATTAAAAGCAAACTTATGAATAATTATTATTTCAAAATACTTTTTAAATTAAAATATAAGGGCATAAAGTTTAAATTTCTGAAGAGAGAGATGGATGTACAGACGTACATATCATCTTTTATTAAAAAAAATACATAATATAATATTGATTTTTTTTTAAAAAAACGCGTAATTAAAAATAAATATAAAATGATATATTGTAAAAAACGCGGAATTAAATAATGAATATAAAATGATGAATGATACATTATGAAACTAAAAATTGAGAAACGTAAAACGCTATTATCTAAAACGCAAAATATATATAATATAAAATAAAAATAAAATGCGACCAATTATTTATTTCATTCCAAATATTAAATATATTGAGATACGTAAAACGCTATTATCTAAAACGCAAAATATATATAATAAAAAATAAAAATAAAATGCGACCAATTATTTATTTCATTCCAAATATTCAATATTTGATAAATTTATTCTGATTCAATTATTCTTAATCAAATTCGTTATTCGTTAAATTAATTCTATTTCGTTTACTCGATGAATCTTATTCTATAAAGACGTTATTCAATAATATCTACATTCTAAAATCATTCAAAATCTTCATATATATTTAATAACAAATAATGATAATAACAATTTTAAAAAATTGATAATAATAACCATTGAGATATGAAGCTTACGATTTGAACAAGCCAACGATTGAGACGACATATGCAACAACTTGACAATCAAAATGATAAATCATTTGGACGACAAGCTTGCTATGACAGCTCAGATGGATTGTGGGAATGCTTTTCAGAAGAAGGGGAATGTTGATCGATTGATTTTTTATTTAACTTAAATTGTTTTTTTATAGCCTTTAACTATATATTTCGCTTAAATGTTTTTTATAATACATATATATACCTTATTTTTATATTTATTTTAAGTATCATTTTAGTTAGAATAAAATTATTATAAATTAAAATCTCCACCGTTATCTTTCACCACTGTTATCACCTATATAACAAAACCATTATCAATTGAGGCATGTGTATGAATTAATTAACCTTTTTTATCACTTGTAATTCTTTAGACGCAAATATTTTTTATATCAACCATCGAAAATATTTTATACTGTAATAAATAGATTTTGTTTTGAAATATTATTTTTAGATATGTCTTGTATTGTTTTAATTATTTATATGTTAGTTTATTTTGTATGCAAAATATAATAAATGACAAAATATGAAATTCAGAATAATTGTTTAGAGTTAGCAAATTTTAAAAAAGTATAATATATTAATATAACACCCGACCGAAGGCCGGGGAAAAGCGGGGCGAAGGCCCGCAAATTGGGAGTATGGGGGGCTTCGCCTCCCATAAATTTTTTTAGCTGAGCCCCCTGAGATTGTAAAGGCTAGCGACGCCCTGAAAACCACACGAACCTCCTCATGTTCACAGAAAGATTGGTATATTCCACTCAAGGCTCCGGCGCTTATCTAAAAATGAGTCTTCACGACGACTATCTCACATTGCACAACTTGAACCAAGGATCCGTCGCGAGTTTCTGGAGACCATACCCTCCAACAACCTTGACCTGCAGCTTTCCGTTGACGAGCTAAGATTTGCTATTGAACTACGGCTCAATTGCAAAATTGTTCTACCTTATCAATACGAAGATTGCGAAACCAGTGTTGATTGCAAAGATAGACATTGCCTCTATTACCACTTTTGTCTAGGCCGTTTACCACGGTACACCAAATGCAATGATATCATTTTATGTGCATTCAAATCCACAGGCATTCAATCTAGACTTGAGCCAAACGTATACTTAGAACCGATGGAAAACGTTCTGAGGAATTCTTAATTCCTCGTTCAAGGGATTAGCTCCTGGTTTGGGACTTCACCTGCGATGATCCAAATGCAGCATACAACCACAACATCACTGACTTCGCCCTTGCAAAAATCCGGTACAAATACAGTTCCATAAATCCTTCCTACTCATTTATTCCCATATCTGCTTTATTCTCACCACCTTTGGCACCAAAACTAAATTTAAGAATCGGGGAGACGGATTCGCATAAAGACCGATCATTCTTCGGAATTCCTTTTCTTACGGCAAAGATTTGCTATAGCCATTATTCGCTCTAACTATCTAAGTTTTATCTCTTCCATTGAATAATCTTCTGCCTCCTTTTACTCTCTTCCTTTTCTTCACCTTCCTAGATCCTAGATCCTATCTACTATTTTCTTTTTAGACATTTTATTTTTAAATTCCTTATCCTTTTCCTAAATTCTATTTTTATATTTTTCAGCTTTAATGATTTTAACTTAGAATAATATATTTATGCACCATTACCTTTTAACAATATATTATATCAGCTATTATTCAAATAAATAAATAATTGCTATAATTATATAATATATCATTTGACTCTTAAGGTTGAAAAGAAATATTTAAAGAATTTGAATAGAAACATCGTCATTTGACCTGATTATATTCATTTAAAAGAGGATCCATGATTCCATTGATGAGCACAATTTTTATTTCCCCAAAAATCTCATTTAAAATATGACAGTAAGGATATTAAAACAAAAAATTTAAATAATTTAAAAAATCGGCGCAAGAATTGAAAAGTTAAAGATAAAAAACGATTAGTTGCTCTCCAGGTCTTACCTCTTAGCTAGTTTTTGTGATATTAAGAATATACTTCTAGCACAGGACTTAGTTTGGAAAATCGAATAATATCTCTGATTTTAATATCAAGCTGGTTTTTCAATTTTTTGGTAACCTTAATTATTGATTTTTATATTTCCTAGATTTGGTGATATTTTGGATTTCCTTTTGTCTCTGATTTTTAGGATTTCTATTGATTTCTATTCTGTTAATACATATTCCGATTGCTGGGGTAAGGATGATGTGGAGGGGGGGGGGGAGGGGGGAATTAATATAAAATTTTACATGAAAATTTCTTACCGATTTGCGAGTTAGATAGTTTATGGAAAAGCCAATAACGTCGGATACCAGATTATCAATCATAAATATATACGCTTGCAAGAAAAATTTTAATAAAAATATTTAAAAATTAATAATAGACTACCTTGATAAAAAAATTAAAAACAATTGGTCTAAGAATAAAAAAATTCCATTATATTATATTCAAAAAAGTTATCAACTTTATACAATTATTGATATAAAAATGGAAATCGAACTTAGAAAATTTCAAGTGCTTGTGCATTTGTACATTAAATTTTCAGAATTGGGCAAGATAATGGTTTAAAATTTTAAAATATAGTTAGTTAATATTTCGTTTGATGATTTTTTTAAGATCATTATTTTACTAGCATTATATAATTACAGCTATATGATATCCAGAATTTTCTTATAGGTATTTGGGGGGGAGGGATACGTTAGAGTTTTCAGCCATATATGATTTGTAGTATTTAGGTCCATTTATTGTAAACCTTTGGCTATATTATGTCATATAAAAACTTTTAAGATTTGTGTGTGTTAGAGAAAAACTACGAGGTTGAGAATAATTGATTTATTTAAAAATAATATATAATGAATCTAATTAATGTAAAATAAAATCGATTAATAAATTTATTTTAAATATATAAAATTAACAATTTCGTATATAAGAAAAAAAAACATAATGGTGGTTTTTTGATTTTTATCGTGCTTTATTTATCTATGCATAAAATATAATCTTTTTCTCAAATTTAAATAAAAATCTTTTATGCTTGAACTTATCTCTTATAAAATATATTTTCTTTTTTTGCTTGAATATTAAAAATAATCATTTGCACAAAACAACAACAATAATTTGAGTTTTTTTTATAAAATGTCTTTTTTTCTAAAGATTAATTATGGTCGTTATTTTAAAAAATTATTAACGTTAACTGATTTTTCCTTCAAATTATTAATTAGTGATTGCATATATTATTTTACTGAGGGATGGGGGAGTATCACTCGAAAATAATATTTAAGAGAAGAGGCAAATTTCCGATGGAGCTGGTTACGCGCTTGATCCCAGCTGTTGCAAAAAGCTATATCATATTTCGAGAAATATAATTCGAATAGGTTTATCTACAAATATTTTACCATGTAGGCGGCGGTTAGATTAAGTTAAAAATAGACCAAGTTAAAACAGAAACGTCATTGTTTCGGAAAATATCGACGATGTACAACACGATATTTAGCCATATTGACGAATATTTTTAACTAAATAAAAGAGATATTGAAAAAATTAACGGGAAGAGGAGATGGAGGGGGGGGGGTAATGAATATTTGTTATTGGAGATGGGGGCTAAATCCTATGCCGGTTGCCTCCAATTTCCAATACTCATAAAGGTGTATGGTCATATTGTTAAATAAAATAATTATCGCAATTTAAACCACTGTGATATCTACATAATACTATATTGGTGATTCATGCATTAATACATAGGAGTCAAATGTAGAGGCATTTTGTGTTTTTCACTTCAATTAAATAGCCTTAATGTCAAATGGTCATTATTATAATAATGAATATGCCAATTAGTCCTATTGGAAATCTAATAATGACGCTAAAGCTGACTCCTACATATGTATTTAATATATACATCGCTTATCTAATAGTTTACTATACTCATCGATTTAGACCCCTGTAATAAATTATAAAGAAGGAATATATATTTATTTATGGAGCCTTTGTATAATGCTATATAATATATTTTGTTTATTCATAATACACAATGATATTTTATTTTTAGAACTTTAATTCATAAATTCGATTTATTTTTAGAAACCATTTTCTGGCAAATTCATATGAAATATATAGAAATATAAACTCATCAAAAGTCCGTGCCAACTGGCAATTAGCCAAGAAGATTTCATATATTGTGTAATTATTAGATTTGATGGATTCACTACGCGAGCAAATTATGATAAATGATTTTGTGATGGCAGTTGGATGTGCTCGAGATCAAGCTAAACAATTACTACAAAAAGCTCACTGGCAATTTGAAGTAATCTTTGTTAATAATTGCTATATTAATTACTAATGTGAAGAGTGCCTTAAGTTACTTCTTTCAAGAAATTCCAAGTCACAATTATTTGGCTAATTCAGTAAAATATCATGATGATGTAAGTTTAAGATTTATAATATAATTTATAAATAATTTTAAGAATATGCCACCTTGCAATACACCTTCAACTCCACCAAATTTTTCAGAAACACTAAATATGTTATCAAAACTTTCCACCACAAGCAAAATTACTGAGACACCTCTTTTGGAACCATTAAATTCATCTTTGTACAAAAGTCAACCATTAGAAAATCATTATCTATCTAGTACAAATATTGATAACTTTAATTCCAATAATAGCACCTTGTTTTAATTTTTATTTAGAGAAAATTAAAATTTTTATATACAGATTTTTTAAATTCAGTCACTAAAAGATTATTTTGTAAGATAATTTTGTATATTTTTAAATGTTTGGATTATTTATTAGATTAATTTTCTATGAAAAAAAGTTATGCATTTTTAAAATTTTTATTAAATGCAAATAATACATAAAATTTTTACAATTAAAAAATTATATGATATTTTAGGTTATTTTGATGCTATTTTGTATTTAAAAAATGAAACATAATATATAATAATATAATTTATTTATCGGTTATGTAAATAAACAATACCAACTACGAAAATTTTATCCTTTTTTTATCATAGCCACCTTGTTACCATGTGTTCAATGTCATTTATTTCTTTTACTTGGACATAATTCTGTTAAAAGGAGTAAAATGTTTTATATAATATAGAATTGAAAAATCTGTTAAGTGATTATATATGGCCTAGAATTGCGGTATTTTGTGTCTTATGGCAAAAATTTGTTCCATTTGAGTATATTTTCCTAAAAAAAATTGTTCCATTTTATTCACTAATCCTTAGAATATGATCAGTTATTAGATCTGAATATTAAAATACATCTCAATATAACTTGTTAGCAAAATTATCAATTGAGTTTAGAATCTTATTTATTTTATTTGATTTAAAAAAAGTTCCATATCACAGCTGTAATTGACTAATCCAAATTGGCCCTTAACTCTACTAGAACCAGAGATAATTGAATATAAACTATAACTGATCATTATAATATATTTAAATGACATAAGGTTATGGTATAGTTAAATTATAGATGTTATACTAATAAAAAGTATCTTAAAAATTAAAACCATTGGTATCTTTACATAATACAAAATTAGATATGATATTGGATCAGTAATCGTCCTATATCAATTTAATATTGGCTTGGATTAGTGTCCAAAAAGTGGTATTGGTACACCCCTATAAAAAATATTAGCCCCAAGCCCGAACTAAAATTATTTTTTTAAAATAGACCTGGCCTGAAATTGGGCATTGGCCAGGCCATGATTTGCCTCTAACGTATATATCTATTAGCTCATTTTATAGGCTTATATAAACTCCTGCGCGTATTTTGATAAAATTAATTTAAAATGTTGATATAAATTTTAAAATTTCAGATATTTTGTGAAGAATATCAAAAACTGTACATATAAAAATGAGTTTTAGAAAAAATTCATATAATAAAATTACTGCTATATGGTGCTAATAATTTTAAAAATTATTTTTTGAAAAATGACCAAGCAGAGCCACTTTGAGACTATATCTCCAGCTCTAGTAGAGTTATAATACTTTGAATTCTTAAATTGCAAATTTCATTAACTTATACACCAAAGTTAACATATTCTGAGATGATCAGGTTGTAAAGTGATTGTTGATATGGAATGAACCAATATTCACTGAGTAAAAATATTGTGATATCAAACTGAAATTAAGAAAGAAAATATTAACGAATGATCTATTTATTATAAATATTTGGATAGCACTACTATTTATTGTTACAATATTTTATATTCTACTTTCTATACATCACCCACAGTGAAAAGATTATATAATTAATTCTTCAAACAGGTGATGTTCATACTAACTTAACATGGCATTTGGTGACAGATCAATGACCAAAATATTCTTAGACTTAATATTGATTGGGGGTTTATAAGGGATCTATGAAGAAAGAAATGAGCTAGCTCTATTTGGAGTAATGAAACTCACCAAATATATTTAAATAATTAGAATGAAGAAAATAAGATATACCATTTAATTTTGATAGTGAAAAATCTAAATATATAAGACGCTATTCTAATATATAATTTTTTTATTGGGATTTAATAAAACACCTATTATAATTTCCTGATTCTAGCTATTACTAATTATATGCCCAACACATGGCATCTGCTATCTTCCTGCCGACAAAATGACTCAATAGGTTTATATAGATACGCTATTAAAAATTAAAAAAATCACCAGGCTCTATTATAATTAGAAGCATTCTCGGCGAGCGTGTATTTTTAATAGCTGGGTTTACATTTAACTCAACATCTTTTTTATGTTCCTCAAATATAAATAAAATTATCTTTATACATGATAATTATACTTTTATAAGATAGTTAAATTGAAATTTGTAATTTAAGACTATTATAGATATTAATTTAAATTTATCTTAAAAGGATATTTCCACAAATTCAGTGCCCATATGACAGAAAATTGGTTGGAGGCAACTCCTCCCCCCCCCACCAGACTTTCTCTAAAAAAATATACACGACCTACAATGGTAATAAAATATACATTATAATAGCCACTATATTTAACACTAATAAAATATTAATTAAAACTCTTCCAGGCATCATAAGACTAGGAATAACAAATAAACGTTAGTTACTTAGTGATAATTAACAAGTTATTACTAACCGTAATCTAAAAATTAGGTACGTAGTGTAGAAAATTTACTGTAGTTATGTGGGTCGTTTTTTTGTGTATTCTTTTTTTTGATTATCATGGGTAATCATTATATTATTAATCAATTTATTTTTAGTAATATATTTAAAAATAGAAATAAATCATTATTTTCTTACAAATTTATTTTTTTTACTCTTTTTTGAGTATCATACTTTTTAGATTCGACTAGTTTTTGTTTTGTAAATATTTCGTTTCCTTCGATAAAAAGTAAAAAAAAACAAAGTACAAGTACAAACAATATAAAAAGTAAAATAAAAAGGGATCAACAAAAGAAAACAAAGGTAAATAATAATTAAATTGATTTAAAATTAAAGGAAGAGTAAAATAGACCCGCCTCCTATAAAGTGAAAAGTTTAAGATTTGAACTTCAAAAGAATTTAGTCTTGTTTAAAATAATAAGTTACTTTTGAATTAATGATATAAAATCTAATTACCTATTAAAATCGGAATATATCTATTAGTAAATCTAAATTAGAATCCTTTTACCAATTATATTTGCCTTCAATATATAGTTTATTTTTAATTAGCCCTACCCCGTTTAAATAAATTGGAGGCAAATGGCTCCTACCCACCTTATTACTAATGATGTTTCGTTTGGCAAAGTTTATATTCATTGAAAAAATGGGCAATCCAATTCTATCGCCCATTACTTTTTTTATGCTATAGAAACAAAGAAAAAGAGCATAAATCGAAATAGGTTTTAAATGCCTTCATTTTAGTTCAAAAATTGTTAATATAAGTAAATTATTTATATAATATTATTGTGATGTAAATTTATCGACTGGGTTTATTTTCTAAAAAATATGGGCATAGTGTGGTGTTTAAACATTGACTGCATTTTGGAGATATGGGGGTACAAATCTGTTGACCAAAACCGACCAATAAGTGATTAATACTGCTCCAATATTCTCTTTATTAATAAATAAATAAATAATTTAGAATTTATATAATAGATAGATTTTTATTATATTTACACATTAAAAAAATTTTTAAAAACATATATAATAGATAAATTTTTATTTTATTTACACAATAAAATATTTTTAAAAACATATATAATATAAAAATTATAGATGTGTGAGGCTGCAATGAACTGGTTTTTAGCACGCCAGCCCATTCACAAGGCGAGCGTGGGCAGGTTTTCTAAAATATTTTAATAGGTGGGAGCCGAACGGGTTAAAATATATTTTTATGGTAATGGGAGGGCGTGAGCGGGTGATTTTTTAATATTTTCCGGGCGAAATATTTTATAATGCGTATTATGTTTACACCTATCCATGTACCAAGAGCCCTGTATTCACAATCAGCTGTTTATAAGATTATAAGTAATATAGTATCTAAACCACTACTGTCCTTGATCATATTCATACCAAGCTGCAATAAAAAATTTAGACCTTGGTTCATTCTCTCCCAAACATGCAATTTGTTTTTTACACTAAAAATTTATTCAACAAAATATTCCTGTTTTTATATCCTTAGTCTAGAATTTTTAGGATCTTTCCTATATCTATAAATGAAATCTAATCAATTATATCAACATGAATCATTCATTTATTATTATACCTACATAAATTAAAATATAACCAATTACTCAAGATATATTTATTCTTCAATATTTCCAATTTCCTCTTTCAAGAAATTAGTCTTTGATTTTTCTATTTATAAATGTATATTGTTTTCAATGTATCTGGATGTTCTCTTTCAACTAAATTTTCTGATATAATTATTACTATTCCAAAATGTTGTTTTGAATTCTTATTATTATTAATGAAATTATTCAAAATAATCTAATATAACCTCAGAGTCAAATTTATTTTTTCAACAACATGAATCCTTAATTTACCATCCTCTGTATGTCATCATCACAAATCTGTCCCTCATGTCAAAAGTCAGCACATATAAGAAAAGATGGATGCTTACAAGTCCATGGTCCTTCACTCAGATGGTCACACTCTGGCTACGCTCCTTGTCCCCTTATCAATACTTTGATTATCCCCCCAGAAAATTCCGTTCCACTTCACCACAATTCTAATTCCAGCTTCTCAGATATTTTCTTGACCATCCCAAACCAAATATTATTTCTAGGATTCCCAAAGGTGCTAGACTGCCTGTTGCTAAATCTTTTGCTGAATGCCTATCCTCTCTTTTGCTAAACTTTAGTAATGAGCAAGAATGATTAAAATTCCTATTTTTTGGATATAATACCTTCAGAGTGCCTGACAAAAATTCACCTAAATCCCTTACTCAGCAAATCAAAGATTCTGCTTCGATGAAGGCTCCCCATCTTCATGAAAACAAAATGTCACAGCCAGTCTTAAACAAAAGAAGACTCTCACCAATAGAGTTGAAGGCCAATCTGATCTGCAAGAAAATTGACAACCTCAATATTAAAGGAGCACTCAGATTGGTGTCCACACATTACTCTGGCTGGGCCCTCCATATCCACGTATTTAAGTTATGTCAAAAACACCCCAAAGCTAACATTATCCCAATTTCCCCTCAACCTCATTCTACTTGTGCCTCTCTTTTTACTTCAGAAGAAGTGAGGAAAGCTATTCTTTCCTTTCATCGCGATTCTGCTCATGGTCTCCATTTTTCTCCAGAACATCACTTCTCCCTCTACATGCTAACAAACATCCGTTCTCTCCAAATTAACAAACTTCTGCAACAAAATTTTAAACGGCAATGTTCCAAATTTCGTTTCATCTATCCTCTTTGGTGCTAGGTTAATCGCACTTCAAAAGCCTAATAATGATATCAGACCTATTGCCATTGGTTCTACCTTTCGTCGTTTAGTTGCCAAGATGATATCATCCCGAATTAAGCATGATGCTTCACGTCTTTTAAGCCCCTTCTAACTTGGTGTTGGAATCCCCGGTGGCTGTGAAGCGGTTTTACATATGACCAGATTATATCTTGAAAATTTACTCTCTAATAAATCCTCAATTAAAATTGACTTCTCTAATGCTTACAACACACTCTCCCGGACTCCTTCCTGAGTTCCTCAAGTAATCTATTTCCCAGTTACACTAAGTTTTTTTATTCGTGTTATCAACAGCCCTCCATTCTTCAGTTTGATACCTTTAAAATTCCTTCCATCGAGGGCATTCAGCAGGGAGACCCTCTAGGTTCCCTATTCTTTTGTTTAAGTATTAATGACATCATTAAATCCATTAATTCGGTCTGCTCATTATCCTTGCATTCCTGATACATTGATGATGGTATCCTTGGAGGATCCAATGTTGAGGTCAATAAAACCGTGAACATCATCAAGGAGGCCGGATCTGCTATTGGACTCTCCATCAATCCAGAGAAATCAAAATTTATCCCTATCAATACTATCGAACCTAATTCAAATAAATTCAAACTAACGACTCTTGATGGACGAGCCCCTGTTGTTGGTAACTCTGCTATTTCTTCCTTCCTTCAGTCCACTTTGGATACTTTATTTGAATTGGCAGATTTATTTACCCTACTTCCCTCTCATAAAGCCTTTTAACTTGTGAAAATTTTTTTCAATATTCCCAGTATTCTTTACGCACTTAGTTCAACCGCCATATTTAAATTTCCCATTCCTCTTGGAGTTTATGAAAATGGGATCAAAGTCCTTATCGAAAATATTCTAAATCTTAAATTTGATGAAATAGCATGGACACAAGTCTCTTTACCCACTAATAGGGAGGTCTCCTTAATTGACTTCATATCCAGTTGTCTTTTAACTAAAAACATAGTAAATTCTAATTCTTTAAAACCCGACTCGTCTTCCAATGATGCAATCATCGAATGGAAGACTTGAATTATTGTGAATCACCCTCTTCCTGAATTGAGTAAGCAGAAGGACTGGGATAGGCCTATTATTGCACTCTGTGTTGAATCACTCCTTTCCAGAATGCAATTATCTGACCGTCCCTTATTCTCCTCTCTGCTTAATGGTTCAGGCCATGAATTTCTTGAAGCTATTCCGTCTGTTAATCTGCAATTACAACTGAATCAAAATGAGCTTACTCACGCGATCGGTATTCGATTAAATTGTCTAATTACCCAACCCCAGACATGTTCAGGTTGCAGTTTTGGGCAATGGTCTACTTAGTCTTCACTGTCGCTCCTGCAAAGGTCGAATCGTTAGACATAATCTATGCAATTCAATCATCCTCAGAGCTCTGAGATCCGCTCAAATCCCCTCTACTCTTGAACCTTCCGGTCTTTTCAGATCTGATGGGAAACGGCCTGACGGGATATCTCAAATTCCTTGGAAGCACGGTCAATTCCTGGTCTGGGACTACTCTTGTATTGATCCACTTGCTCCATCAAATCAAACATTTAATATACTTGAGAAAAAGGAGTCACTCAAAATTGAGAAATATTCTGAAATCTCTCAAGAATATATTTTCATCCCCATCATTTCCACAACCCTTACAACTTTTGGGAAATATGCCTTATCTTTTTTCAAGGAACTCGGCTCCCACATTCATCAACTAACCGTGAACCCCGCGAGCTTCTTAAGACAAAGACTCGCCATTGCAATACACAAGGCTAATTATATTAGCTTCATAGGCAGTATCATTCCACAGGATGATTTTTTTTAACCTCAATACTTTTTATAAAACCGTTACAAATATATTCTCCAATTAATAATAATATTCTTGTTTGTTTTTTTATATCATTTATTAAAGTTTTTTTCATCAGCTGTTTATAAATTAATAAAAATTTAAAATATATTATAATAAATAAAGAGCTAAACCAGCCATTAAAATAATTTATAGACATTGGACGGGCGGGTAAATAAAAAAAATTATGAGTGGGCGAGCGGGTTTATTAAACAAATGGACGAACTTGTTAGCTAATCCCGTCCATTGCAGACCTCTAGTGTGTATATATAAAACATTTATAAAAGATGTGATTAAAAAAGTCTTTAAAATAAAAATAATTAGTTACTTAGGCAGCCATGATTCTAATTGATTTCGTGTTTGTTCGGGATTTTTCGCAGATTTGACTAAACCCATCCTAAATAAAAAAAATAAGAATATTAAAAAAACTGAAAATAATTGATGAGTGATCAATACAATATATAGAACAATTTGCTAAGCATTTGCAAGAGTTGGCATTAGACAAACCTAAAATGACCATGATAGAGAGGTCGATAGCCATGTATTTTATTGTAAGATTAACAATCAAGATAAATTATAAATTTAAAAAAATTAATTAATCAGGTTTTTTTAGACTTAAAATTTTGTAATCAATTAATTTTCATAACAAGCATAATATGTCTGCTTATTTAATTTTAAATGGGTAAATATATTATAATTTTTATATTTATTAATTTAAACTATTTATAAATTATTTTTAAAATATCATGACCCGCGGAAAAACCGTTTTACCAAAAGTGCAAAATAATTTTATTTTTGCTTAAGTTAAAAACTAAATTTTAAAATTGTATTTGCAGCATGATAAATCCTTCTTTTAAAAGGGATATTACTTTGTATTTTAGGGTATACATTGTCATTGTATCACCTTCCGATGGTTGACAAAATTCTATTAATTTTCATTTCCATAATTAACCTACATTATTGTGGGATAAGAACTTGTCTTCAGAATATCCGAGAATTCTTTGAATATTGATAAGAAATTATCTAGTTCGCGTATGATGCTTATATCAATTGTCGCCAATATGTTTTTTTTGTTTGCTACCATATGATCTCAAGAAACTTATATACAGATTTCTTCTCGTTATTATCTTGCTTAAGAGATTAGATTAGCTTGCTGCAGATTGCTTAAAATTGTACTATCTTTTTTTACATCATTTATATTTGAAGTTATGTCGGGTTGGTATCATTTCATCATCTTTGTAAGTGCTTATAAAATTTATGCCATTATCAGTCATAACTAAACTATACATTTATTCATAAAATTCGCTTTTTCTGTATCTTCCTATAAAATTAAATTGACTATACTTATAATATTGTCACCCGTTTTTTTCTTCATTCATTTCCCTTGTAGCCAAAACTAATATTTATAATTCAAAATCCATATTAAATATACCCTGTATTGGTTAAAAAACTTTGCTTATTATAGTTACCCATCGACATGGTTATGGACAAGTAATTATCACTATACAGGATTTTTATAGTAGTTTTAATTCTATCATAAATTTTAGAGCTATTATTTATTAATAATATTTCTTCTCACGAGTAATCCTTTTATATTTTGTTGCATTATCTTATTCAATCTCAATATTTTAATATATACCAGGGCTAAAAAAAATTTTAAAAAAATACCCATCCCAGGCCTAAAATTTCTTTTTAAAAAAAATACCCAGCCTGGGGTATATATTTTAAATCCAAATATTTTAAATCGAGATTATTAGCTATAAAAATTAAAAATAAATAAAATATATTTCAAAAAAATCAGGGCCAGTCCATACAAATGGTAAATATGCAGGTCTCTGATATTTATTGACTCTTGACCTAACAGGTAAAAACACTTCATTTCAAGTTAGAGATCAAATCTTTTTAAAATAAAATAATCAGTCAAAATTAAGGAAAATTACATATCTTAACAACTTATTGTTTAATTTCTCATATTTACCTACAAATCTAAAAGATAATTGATGCAAATGCCTAAAACATAATTAATATAAGTGCATTCAAAGATGATGAAAGGATACCATGTTCATGCAATATATTAAATAACATAATTCATTATATTTTTGATAATTGCTTACATGAAATAGTTTTAAGTATTAATGACGTGAAAAATATATTGCAATATTTTAAGCACTGCAGCAAACAGCCAGCTAAGCCATTCCATTAACCAGGATATGATAACAAGATGCGACTCTGTATATATCATGATACAAAGTTTCTTAAAATTATATGATGAAATACAGGTTTACCTGCTTAAAAACAAGTTAAATAAATAGCAGTAGCAACCACAGTTTGATATTTTTTTATCACTCAAATAATTCTCAGATAATTTGAGAACAAATTTTCATCTTACCATAAAAAAGTTTATTTATGGAAACAAAAATTTATAAATTTCCCAACACTCAGAAGGTAATACAGTAATAATAAAAACCCTATGAAACAAGACAATATCTCCTTAAAGGAAAGATTTTTTATGCTGCCACTACATAAGGCAGGTTTAATTCTAAATCCATATTTTAAAAGTCATAAGTTCAGACGATGAAAAGGTGGTATATAATATAAGACAACTTCAAAAATGCTAAATAAAATTCGACGATATTCATAAGACGCACATATAAAAAGGAGCATAGTCTAAATGAAACATTTAGAGATTTCTAGATTATTCTGACGAGGAAACAACATCTAACGATAAAAGTTGTGAGGATGAACTTAAAAGATTCATCGTTCATAAAACAAATAACAATGAAAATATTTAAAGTTTTGGAAACAGGAAAATTCATTTCCTTTTTTGAGATTTGCTAGTAAAATTTTATTAGCCAAGGCAAGTTCGGCTTCCAATGCAAGATTTTATTCTATATACAATCGCTTATCAGAAGACGAACACTGTTAATATCAATAAATATAGACATTCTTTATTAAAATAAAAATTTTGATTTATAAATATTAATTTTTTTTTGTTATTAATTAGGAATTAAAGAAATAAAAAGCTATAATAGAATAAATTCAAAAAAGCGTAAATGTAGCAATAAAATTTTGAGAAATTTAGAATATTATTGTTAAAACATGAATTTTTCGGGAGTGACGGACGTGATCAAAATATTGTCTATCGTGAACCCGCGGGTTTAGGCCAGCGTCCACAAATTGCTGTCAGCCAAGTGCAAAGCAAGGTATAAGATAAAGCACTCCCCGCAATGCTAGTAGAGGGTAGCAAGTATGATAATGTAAACAAAACACACTAAGTCTCGGGATGCTATATGGGGATGAGAAAGAAATAAAGGAGGTGACACGGGAACAGCTCGTCGACGCTACGGAAGCCTAATACGATCATCTTAAAGAATCGCAGCAATAGTCGTCGTATTCGTTTGACATCGATGACATGAATTCTAGGATGAATGATAAAAAAAACGAAATAAAGTCCAACTACTACAAAACAGAGTTAAAAAGCATGGAACAAATGAAGGAAAGACTGAGTCGTTTAGAGGAAGAAATCGATCAAGAGCCTCACCTCAAGATAATGTGGACCAGATTTGTCAAAAGATCCAACCTCGTTTGGTTCAATTTGTAGCGACTAAGCTGTAAGGGATAGAGGAAGAGTAAAAACGTTTAGCTGAACCAAACGAGAGAAAAAGACCAAACTAAAATTGGCAAAACGATATTTCATCCTCTTTAAAAACAAAGAGGACAAAGGTGAAGAAGGTTGAGTAACCAAGAAGGAAAAACAAGCCGTTGAGGCAAAGATATATGAAGTTTGGGGTTCAAATATTGATAGATAAAACGAAGTTGGTCAGAAAGGAAGGGGACAAAATTAGGAAGGGTAAACGACATCCCTTAAATAAAGGAGTCAAATTTAAGGAAATGGTACAAAATAAAGTCTTTAAAAAAGGGGGTATGTTGTAATGGTCAACATCTTAATTTATTAAATTGAGATAAATTCATATTTTTTGTATTGATAGGGTGATACTTTATTTTATAGGCCTAAAGTATCACTTTTTATTAATCGAAATTGTTTTTAAAACATATATTTAAATAAACTATTAGAAAAATATAACAATTTTATGTTCAAATTTATATTGATGTTAGTTTTTCTTCTTTTATTAAATAAAATAATTTGATAAATATTTTTACAATAAAGTAATTAAAGTAAAACATAATTTCCTAATATGTGAAACGCTATAATATGAATTTGTTAGGTTTAATTAATAAAAATTTTGAATATCATGAAAATTAGCTTTGAAGTGAAAATTTGTGATAAACCGGTGGTCAAAATTTAGCAGCATAACATTGCCCTAGCCCCTTTTAGTGTTGTTAAAAAGTCGAGTTCTTACGACTTGCGACTCGAGTCGTAGTCGTAAAAAACGGCTCCGACTCAAGCCGATCAAGGAGCCGCATGAGTCGGCTCGCTTAGTCGGCTCGCTTAGTCGGCTCACTTAGTGGGCTCAGAGGGTAGCTTGAGTTTATTTTAAATTTAGAGCCAAAAATTATTTTAAAGTTATTGAGAAATTTTAAATAATAATGTAGAATTTTATTTATTTATTTTTAGTAAAATAATTTATTTTATTTATATTTTATTTAATGCAAATAATATGTTTTGATTTGATTATAATAAAAATGGATTTATTTATTTGATTTTTTTTTAAATAAAAAAAAATTAATATTTTTGAGCTAAAAATTTTAAGAAAAAAATATTTTTGAAACATATTTTGCTGATTTTTTGAAGAAATTTTATTCTTTTGTTTTATCATAAAATTTTATTCTTTTTTTAATTATATCATAAATAAATAATCTTTTAGGTCAAATCTTCTATAGTTTTTTTTAAATTATTTTTATAAATATATCTATATTTTAAGTTTATTATTAGAGGTGGCTTTTTCTAAATATTTTTTTAATAAATATATTTATATTTTAAGAATATTAAAAGAGGTGGTTTTTCTAAATTATTTTTTTATTAATATTTATGTCAAACTTTTTTTTAATGCCGCAATTGTCATATGCGTTATTTTTTAAGATTTTTGGACACAAAAGGGTTATAATATAATTTATATTGTAAAGATATTATTTTCATATTTGTAATTTAAAAAGAATATTCATCTTTTATAAATTGAATAAAAGAATCTAATAATTATTGAAATTTTATTTAATTTAACGTATATATTTTATTGGAATAAGAGTATCGCCTCTGATAGCGATACTCTGAGTTAAAATTTTGTTAACTTTCTCTTTACATTTTTTTTATTATTATAAAATTAAATTATCCAAAGTTTATATAAAATGAAAAAGTGATTTTTACAATTTCGTTAATGTAATAAATATCATCAGTCATTTACATAAAAATTAATACATCTGTTAAAATAAATCACTTTA